GCATCATTCTTGTTCTACTCAAACTGGATGCTAATGAAAGATAAAGCAAAAATGGTTGTCAGAGGAAATATAGCTCCAATATTGCATTTTTTGTTACTCCTATAGCACATGAACATGCAAAGAACTTAACTGTGATTTCCATGCATAGTTATGTGTAGCATGAATGTCCTGGCAGGAAAATTCCTTGAATATATACTCAACTCATAGGAAAATGCACAGTAGTCTACTTAAATGTGCAGAAAATCCCAGAGATGTGTTTCAATTATATACAGCAACAATTTTTGGCTGGGTATAAGTAAAGAAAACTGAGTTCAGATGAATGGTTAATCTATATCAGAATCAAGGAAACACTGATAGAGGTCAAGATTGCTCTGTCCAAACTTCTTTATAGGCTGGATGGCATCAGGTCGTGGTGCCCAGCTACGTACCTTCCCTAAAACCATCTCATACTTCTCATACCCCTTTAAACCTTTTTAGCATGGAGGAAGTGATTTGGATAGTGTCTGGAGAAACAGTTCCTGATATAAGTGGCTGAGTCAGGCAAGGGGTTGCTATCCCTCCAAGGGTATTGCTGTAGCCTAGGAGAGAGGATCGGGCATGTGAGTTGGCCCAGGCCAGATTTGGAGTCTCTGAGGGCTGGAGTTTCCTTATCCCTCATCTGCTTCCCTGTATCATGATTAAATGTAATAAAAACAATTTTTCGGGGCGCATTTTACTAGTATGGAAACCAGTGATGTTGAATAAATATTAATCCTATGGTTCCCCAAGTGTGTGATGAATTGACTGATACAATTCATACAAATGCCTATTGTTCATCTTTTTCTAAATAGTTAAAGAATAGGGGCATTTTTTCTGTGTGCTTTTTAGAATAGCCATTCTCAACAGGGGCCATATGACCCTGAGGCCCTGACATACAGTATTTGAAAGGGCCATTCTCAACAGGGGCCATATGGCCCTGAGGCCCTGACAGGCCACAGACTGAAAAAAGTGAGAAGTTTCTGAAAAGTATCTGTTTGTATCTTGTTTGACAGGGGCCCTGAAACCTGAGAACAGCTCCTAAAAGGGTTGTGACTTCCCCAAAAAAGGTTGGGAATGGCTGCTTTAGATGACCTATATTTGGAAAAAAAATCCTTAAGTGATGAGACCATCAAACTGTCATAGCAAGAGCTATTCAGGTTGTAAATTAGCTACTTTGTATTGTGATACAGGAGGTAAACAAGGCTTTGTTTGGAAGTATGACTCCAAAGGGCAGCTATGAAGAAACTATCAGAGATAATCAAGTATAAAGATGTGTCACTGGAAGTGACACTATTTTAGTTCCAGTTACTATGTATGAATGTGAACGCTGTACAGGGAAGGAAGATAGCGAGGTGAATCAATTTGTTTGAAATATGGTGCTGGAGGAGAGCTTTGTGGATACCATGGGCCACCACGAACAAGTGGAGGTAAACGAGGCTGAACTGAAAGATCGAATAAAGCCTGAACTCTCTATAGAAACAAATGTGTCAAAACTTTGGGCACATAGTGAGAAGACAAGATTCACCAGAGAAGACAACAGTGCTAGGAATAGTTGAAGGCAGGAGAAAAACATGGATTGACTCAATAAAAGTTTGGCCTTGAGTTTGCAAGATGTGAGCAGGGCTGTTGATAACAGGACATTTTGGAAGTTGCTCATTCATGGGTCACCATGGGTCAGAGGCTACTTGACGGCACATGATTGCTAATTTATTATCATCTACCTGAATCATTAAACCGGAACACTAATAGATTTCACCCTCTGATGATAAACTATCTGCAATACTGTATATTGTTTGGCCTCAGTATGTATTTATTTCAAATAGTAGTAGCAGAATGTCAGTCTGGTCTAATTTCTTTAAGTCCTTTTCCACAGAGTTATTTTGTAAGTAGGCAGGCAGAGTGAATACCACCCTGTATATGTTTTTTCTCAAAGCTAAGATGCTCCCAGTATGACATTGTCATTTAATTTAGAGAAGTCCTTTAATCACAGCAGGTTGTGATACTTTATGCCACATGTAATTCACGTGAATATGTATTCGCGAAGGCTTTCACGGC